AATGCATTTGACCTCGTACCCAGTTCAAGACCTAGTGTGATATAGTACTAAGTATGTACTTTAGAAGTAGCAATGGTAACCTTCTAATTCCATCAGACCAGTTCTATGATACCAAATACTTACAATTTAATAAAAGGTAGTGCTTAATATAAATTATATATTTTTGTTCATTTGTTTATTCAGGAAAACATACAGCTTTTATATTATAGTACTTGAGAGACTGAGCTTCGCTCGACGGTTATTTTCGTGAAATTATGCATTTTTGACAGAATAAACACTAACCAAAACCTTATCTAAGTATAAGATAATTTTTTATCCAAAGCGTTAGGGCCGTTTACTAGATCCATTAAATAAAACAGAAGTATATACAAAAATTGCTCGTTTAATAGTATAAGGTATGAATTAATTACATAAACAGTTGCCAAAGCAGTTATCACAAGTAATACAAAACACTATGGAAAGCTAAGTTTAAAAAATATTACTCAAATGAAAAATAAATTAATAAAAAATCCTAGTTCAATGTAAAATTTAAATATATTACACTAAAAAAATACATACTAGTAACCTAACACATAATAAAACTTAAATATAACATGAATAATATTTTATTAAACTGGAATGTGAACGAAGTACGTTAAATGAAAACTTTTAGTTTTTATTAAGTTGTAAATTTCAAGATAGACTGTAAATTATATAATTTTGTAGAATTGACTATTTATAGCTGAAGTCGTCTAGACGATGAATGTAATATATGTATAAATAAATCGCTTTAAAGTCCGAATGAAGAAAGTTATTTTTCAGATTTTTCGCAATTTTCGTCTTTGATAAATACATTTACATATAATAAAATTCTGAGTCGAATCTGTACATTGAATATTTTTTGGAAAATCTTGTTGAAATAGTCACTATTATCGGTACAGAAGCCGAATCTACAGTTTATAGAATTTTTGTCTGTCTGTCTGGGCACGCAACGCGAGAAAACTACTGCACAGATGTCTTGATGGATATGATGATAGCTGGTTATCCGGGTCAACATATAGGATACTTTTTACTGCGGGAAAATATCTCATCTCTGAGAAATCTACTCTCTCTTGTTACTTTCATTATACTATTTATTAGTTTTATTGACACATGAGTAATTACGTAATGAAGAAATACGAAAATGATGTCTTTAATAAAACATCAACATGTTCCATATTTTAAATAATTATCTCTTTTAACAACGCGATGGCAATAAAATTAAAAATTTTAAAATTATGAGGCACAGCAGTTTTTTTCCAATTTTTGTGCATAAACACTATCCAGAATAAACAAGTCAAAGTGCCATGAAATCTTAGTCTCTCCCGTGTCCATTTTTACTGTAAAACATTTGAAATGACGGGAATCAAAAATCTAAATAAAAACTTAAGAAATTGTTGTTATTTAATTTTCAAATATTCATATCAATCTAACAAAGTATTAAGAATTTGCGGTTTAAATATCATATGGACACTTAACGCTGCAGAAACCATCTTCAAGAACCAGTATACCATGAACTTTAAATGCGACGTAATAAATCTATCTTAGATAGTAAATAATAATTTAACGTATAAATTAATATTTATCTTTTTTTTTCCACTATAACTCTTTTTCTTGGTCCATTTTGTTTCCTGTAGAATTGAAAATAAAAAATATGTTAGTATGTAAAATATACTAGAAACTAAACTTTAAAACGTTTAGTATAGATTTCTCAGAAATGAGATGTTTTCCCGCAATAAAAAGTATCCTTAATGTTAACTAATTCGGATTACCCGCTATCATCATAACAAATTTCATCAAAATCGGTCCAGTGGTCACAGACAGACAGACAAAAATTCTAAAATCTATAGATTCGCCCTCTGTATCGATAACAATGACTGTTTCAATAAGATTTTCCAAAAATAATATTTAATGTACAGATTCCACTCAGATTTTTATTATATGTATAGATGACATCGTCTTAAACAATCACATTATGTATATCCACATAAATAAAATAAAAAAATGGAAAATAACGTTATGAGCCTAAAAATTCTTGAAAAAATGTTTGAATTTACTGTCTGACAGATCAATTTTATTTATAGTTATAAGTACCTTATAAACTATACTCGACATCGGGTATCGTAAGATGAGATGTATCAGATTAACATCGTAATAGCCGATATAACGGATACCATAAATATTCATCAATCAATCGATAAAAGTTCAAGAATGTTATACTAATTAGTAAAATTATGTAAAAATATGCGTTGCTTAATGCCTTAATACTTAACTCCACCTTAACTTAGAATTAGATTCCTTCAATTATATTAGAAACATATATGTTACTAGCATTGCCCGCGGCTCCGCCCGCGTTCAGATGACCAAAAACCAAATTAATAGGTTTTATATATTAGTTCCTATACTCTTACATTGCAGTTTTTGTATTTTTTCTCTGAAATGAGACATTTTCCCGCGGTAAAAATATCCTATATGTTGACCCGGATAACCAGCTATTACCATACCAAATTTCATTAAAATCCCTCCAGTGGTTAACAGACAGACAGACAAAAATTATAAAAACTATAGATTCGGCCTCTGTATCGATAATAATGTTTATTAAAATAAGATTTTCCAAAAAATATTAATGATCAGATTCGACTCAGAATTTTAATATATATAAACCTATGTAAAGAAGAATTTCGGACTGACATCTGTTCCCTAGAAATGTTGTACGTATAAATGTACACTAAACCCCGTATCTCCTGATGAGCTCTGCTTTCCTATTACAGTAAAAACTCGTACAATCGTTGATTTACTTAACAAAAAAATTAGCTCAATTTGAACTTTATTTCTATGGGATAAGCTTTAATGAAAGAGCATGTGGCCTAAGAAAAAAGGGACAAGACGCAGGTAGAAAAGTGAATACAAAAGATGCGTTCCTCGCGCTATACTACAAGTATTATTCTCCCTACAAAATCATTTATACACTCTATTTATATTAGTATATGGTTTATATTCGTTTGACAATCTATTTGCCGTACGCAAAGCTTTTTAGTTTCGAGTTCTATACTTCGTAGTGGCGGTCAAATTTTTATATCAGTAAATGTATTAGGTTAGTTTATGTTCGATCGTGTTTAGAGGTTATGGTGGCGTTGTTTTTAGTGTAATAATTAGTGTTTTAATGTCAAATAGTGTTGTAATGATAGTGTTTTAGTGTATTGTTGTGTATTGGATTGCTCAGGTTTGTGTAGACCTTGAATCGAATGTTTGGGCTTGAGGTTATGTTTGTAACTTGTTTTTTGTTACTTGCGAGAGCTTTTTCTTCAATATATTATCACGTTTTTATGTGTAGTATAGAGTTTTAAAGTTTGTGTTAATTTTTGTGTATTTTATTACTAGTTGTGTACAAATATTGTTAATAACTAAAGTTTTTAAAAATTGAGGTTAGGTTGCTATAACTGTTTCGTTGAAATACGAGATGTACGAGTATATGTATAATATATATCTAAAAGGTTTTCGACTCTTGCTTGTAATATTTAACTTCGAATTTGTACTTTAATATTACTTCTAAAACAAAAGAATAAGTTCGGCATAATAATAGAATACTTATTATATTGTCGTTGATTGTAAAAGTTTTATTTCAAAAGATACGTATATTAAAATATTCAATTTAAATTTTCATATTTTCAAGTGAGTTGCAAGAAGCCAATTATGTTTATAAAATATAAATGTCTATCGATACGAAGCCTGACTATTATTAGACTTGTAGAATATTTGGCTTTAGTGTATGTACGTGATACTCTTTTGTTTATTTGATAAAAGTATGAATTTAGAAATGATCTAGGTTTTGTTCGGGATTCCGCTCGCGTACTGTATTTATTTATAATACTCCTTTTTTAGGGGTCTTATTCGTATTCAGCCCCTTTTAATGTTCCACTGCTGGGCACGGGCCTCCCATTAATAAGAGGGTGATCACGCCATAGTCCACCACGCTTTATACACGCAATACTTTTCTAAAAAATGCAAAAAGATTTCTAATGATATGGACCTGATTCAAACTGACAGTTTCAGAGATCAGCGCAAATAAACAAAAAATATGAATTATGTTGTTGAGACATTAACACACAGCACCACCTAATTCCATGAAAACCTACGAGTCTTGTTGATACCAGATCGTTGATACACTATGCATATATAACTTTAAATACATACATATTATAAATGAACAAACATTCTACATCTTTTAATATAGATAGTGTAAAAAATAACAATCGAGTAAAATAGCTGTTATTATTTCGATCATTTGAAAGTTGAAGTATTTTAGTATCAAAATAGAAATGGAAGTTTCTTAGTTATTCGCAGATTCCCAAGAAGGCAGGAAGGCTTAACGATGAACAAAAAAAAAGTGTGAGTCGAACCTCATTATTGCGCCTCGACTTCGTTGCACAAAAATAACGAATCTGTTATTTCAGTGAAAATGTAAAATACTATTCAGGACAAATTAGATATTGGGATGAGATAGAAAGTAAAGGACGAAACGGTAGAATTTCTTAGATACTTGTTAGGATTTTCTAACTAAATCGATCTATGTTTACATAAACTAATTTTTTTTAACGACATGTTTGGCTCAGTTTGTAGTGACCATAATTGCTGTGCCAGCGATCGTGGGTTCGAGTCCCGCTGGGGGCATTCATTTGTGTGATGAGGACGAAAGTTTGTACTCCAGTCATGGGTGTTTATATTTATAATATGTATGTATTTAAAGTTATATATGTGTAGTGTATCAACTGTCTGGTATCCATAACACAAGCCTCGTAGCTTACCATGGAACTAGATGGTGCTGTGTGTTAATGTCCTAACATATTTATATTTATTTATATTTATGGCTTTGAAGTGATTCTATACTATATTGTGTAGATTTAGCAGCTACCTATGAAATTTTTCATATAACGAACACTAAAATAATCATAGTGTATTTATTTATATCTACATATATAAAAATGAGGTCGTATGTTTGCCCTGCATGCGTTCCTAAACCATTCAAACGTAGCGACGCACCCGAGCAACGTTGTTAGTATTAATTATTATTTTGATTAAATATTTCTGTGACATTTACAATTTTTAATAAGGATAGAATTTTAAATAATAAGAAATTACAATGTCTTTTTAAAAACTTAAATACAAATGTTACAAGTTTTTATGGTAACCATGTATATGGTATGGTGTTTCCCTTACGATATCCGAAACTATGGCGCTTGTAACAGTCTCGAAATATTAGAAACTTATAGAAGTACGTGAAAAACTTGGTAAATAAGCAGAAGAAGCAAATAATTTAGTGCTCTATTGCTATAAATAACATAAATGTTCCAAGCGTCGGGTTAAAGATAATGTAAAATTTAAATTATACGCCAGACATCCTTTTAAAGTTTTATTCGTGATGCTTTAACCTTTTCATTACTTCAAGTGTAATGTAATATAAGAAAGTTTTGTTTTATAATGAGTATGTAGTCTCTACCAGTTGAGTAGCTAGAACTTATGATTTACATTTATTTCTTTAATTAATAATGTTTTCTTTGGGTTTTTTAGTAATCAATTGGCTTCCCTCATCATGTAATCTATACATACATATAATAAAATTCAAATTCGAATCTGTACCTTAAATATTTTTTTGGGAATTCTTAATACTTTCTTAGATTTACGCAAATATTTGACATTTTAAAGAAAACTATCTTTTCGGATTATTTCGCGGATTTATTTTGATTTTTGGTTCTCGACGTTTCGAATGCTTTATAGCAATAATGGTCACGGGAGAGACTAGGGTTATAGACGTCTCTAACACATATACTTGTTACAGACAGTGCCTACCCAGTATTTTACAAAAATGATTTCCAAAATTCAAAAATGGCAATAAAGTACCTTACAATATTTGTTGATTTTTATTTCTAATCATTTAAAAAAAAAGTATTATAATTAAACATAGCAAATTTATTTATTTCATTTTAGCTGTTATTATTATAAATATTACAATTTTTGTGCATTATTTGTGCAAAGTTTAATCCAAATTTGCTCAACAATGAGTTTGTGAGATTGCCTGCTACAGGTGTTTTTTACACATAAAAGGCGATTTTAACTTTGGTCGTAATTATTAAACATAATTTTGATACTGAATATTATTATTTTTTTATTATATGTGCAATCCAGTCGTCTAGTATTAATATCATATCTATCTCCTTTCAGATGGCGAAATCGAGATAACGCTAACTGGTAATATGAGCAAGATCTGGAAACGTATGATGGGGAAGCAGGATTCCAGTTGGCGTAGAGTGTTAGTGCTGTGTGTGCTTGTGCTATGTGATAGTGTTAGTGGTAAGCAGATGAGTGAGACGCTGCAGAGGGCGTTGTCGGCGGTGAGAGGACCGAGTCCTGGAGCTAAAAAACTCCTTAATATTCCTGAGGATGGAGGTTGGTTGGTTTTTCTAATTATATTGATCTTTTTCTCTTTAAACAGACATTTAATATGTTGGATAATATAATTTGTATATTTTTAACGGGACTTACTGATTTGTATATGTTGTGTTTTGTTTGACGTTTTAAAAGTTTGTATGTGTTGCGGCTACGTTCAAAGGTATTTCCTAACGGTTTATCGCAGTATCTTATCTATTTGCTTAGAGATAGGAATTTAATATATATTTTTAATAGATAGTAATTTGTAATTAATTGTAATAGAAAAACAAAAACAAATCTATCCTACGGGCACCGTACATTTTTTCCGGTATAACAAGTAGCCTATGTGCTATTCCAGACTATAATTTATCTCTGTGCCAAACATTCAGATCCGTTCAGCCGTTCTGGTGTGAAAGAGTAACAAACATCTGTACATACTTACAAACTTTCACATTTATAACATTATATTTGTAATACTAGCATTGCCCGCGGCTCCGCCCGCGTCCAGATGACCAAAAACCAAATTCTTAGGTTTTACATATTAGTATACTCTTACAATGCTGTTTTTGTATTTTTTCTCAGAAATGAGATATATTGCCGCGGTAAAAAGTATCCTATATGTTGACCCGGATAAACAGCTATCATCATACAAAATTTCATCAAAATTTGTCCAGTGGTTTTCTCGTGATGCGGTAACAGACAGACAGACAAAAATTCTAAAAAAAAACTATAGAATCGGACTCTGTATCGATGATAATGTATATTTGGATTAGATTTTCCAAAAAATATTTAATATACAGATTCGACTTAGTTACAATTTTATTTTATGTATAGACTATATACATATAATACGGATTAATAAATTGAAATTTATGTGAAATGTCTATCTCCAAGTAAAACCATAGATAGATCATTGGAATCCACCATAAATTGCTGTAAATTACGATATTTAAATTTTTTAATACTTAATTCTAAATACTCAAACATCTATAAACAAAAATGGAATGTTTATTTAAATCCAAATGCGTAATACTTTAGTATGATTAATTGATTAGTGTTTTGGTTCAAATGCTCAAAGTTACTTCAAGTTAGGGACAATTAATTATGAAGAAATACATAAATGATTATTTTGTGTGTAGAAGAATATAATTTATCATTATACTGCGTAAAAAGCTACATTTTTTGTTTCTTTTGAAATAACTAAGATATCTACATATCTATACATATAATAAAATTCTAACTGAGCAGAATTTGTACATTAAATGTTTTGGAAAATCTTATTGAAATAGTCATTATTATCGATACAGAAGCCAAATCTATAGTTTTTAGAATTTTTGTCTGTCTGTTTGTCTGTCTGGGAACGCATCACGAGAAAACCACTGGACAAATTTAGTCGAAATTTGGTATGATGACAACTGGTTATCCGGGTATACTTTTTAGTGTGCAAAAATATCTCATCTCTGAGAAATCTATACTAAACGTTAAAACGTGAGTATAATATATAAATAAGCAAAGACAAAACACTTCAGTGCCTTTTTCTCTTATGTTTGTCAAATGGTTTTTTTTTGTTTGGTAGCTAATGACGAGTTTTAGTATTATCAATTAATTTTTTTTACATATACATAGTTTATTTTTATCTAGACAGGTATAATCAATTAATATATCTTTTCCTTAAATTTTCAATACTGGTTATAGTATAATTTCGAACACTGAGCGAAGAATAGTATGTTTAATTGCATGATTGATTGATAGGATTTTTATATGATAAAATTTTTACGTACGATATAAAAAGATATGTTAATTAAGTTTGGATCACTACTCAATACAAATTAGTAGGTCAACTAACAAGTTTCCAGGAGAAACCATTTTTGCTTTTATCTCTTAATCAATAGATTTGTAGACGTGAATGCTTCTATACTTACTTTGTTACTTCAAAAAACCTCACAAAAAAGCCTGTTCATCCAACTAACGCTAGCAACTCAATTTATCTGAACACAGCCAAAAATCTTGCTAAAAGTTTCATTTAAGAACAATGATTGTGAAAAAGGACGACGTTTAATTACTCAAAAACTTCGCCCTCCACCATTATAAAAGATCCCCCAACTTTGTCGATTTCTCTGTATCATGCGAAGTTGGTTTTCAACCCGACTCGAAGTTAGTCTGGGGTTCTTATTAATTAACATGAACCCTTAATTGTAGCCTTCAGGTGCTTTGTCATTCCCTCGATATGACTGCGAAAGAGGTTTTTGTTAGTTATTTGAAACTTCGTTAAAATTCTTCTATTACTAAAGTTTAGAAGTTTGGACAACAGATTTTGTTCCATCAGCTAGCTAAAGTTAAATATTATGTTCGGTTTATATTAGCGTTGTGATTGTATATGCAAAAGTGCTTTATGCTTTATTTACTTCTTTATGCTGTAACGATTTAACCGATTTAAGTGGTATTTTGCATGGAGATAGGCTTTTTTGTCAATGTGTAACTATGAAAAAAAACTATAATTGTATGTTTAAATTATTTGTTTAGGGCAAATGGAAATATCATTTTCAGTTTAAGTGATACGGATACGTATAATATTATATATTGCAATTATACGTATGTAATTGTAAATAATGTTCTGGAGAATAAGTGTTTTTAAACAATGACCATAGAGTAAAAAATATTATTAATGACTTATTCAGTAAGATTCGGACTCTGTATCGATAATAATGTCTATTTCAATTAGATTTTCCAAAAAATATTTAATGTACAGATTCGACTCAGTTACAATTTTATTATATGTATAGATTAATATGACTAAACGAGACAAGAAAAAATAATTCTATAAAATAATAGTTAAAAGAAAATTTACAAAATTTACTCTCCGTTATGTCAAAAGTAGAGGGCATAGTAAGTGAAGGGCCAAAAGTGGACTTTTTATCGCGAGAGACTGATTGCCCCGAATTATTCAGCGTATTTTTTCGTCCCACGTTTATATTTCGCTCCGACCGAGCACCATTAATGTGCATAGATAAAATACGATTGATGCGGCTTTTTCGCTTTAATCAAGGCCGCATTAGTAAAATGGAAGAGTTTTTAACGCTATTTTTGTTATATTCTCAATGTAATGTAATAAAACATGTAAGTTTTAAGCATGATAATGCAGGTGATAATTTTTTTTACGTTTTCGTGGCTTTCCATTTTCTATCTATACCTACCTACATATAAAATTCTCGCTGAGTCGAATCTTTGCATTCAATATTTTATTGAAATAGTCATTATTATCGATACAGAGGCCGAATCTACAGTCTGAGAACTCATCACAAGAAAAGTACTGGACAGATTTTGATGAAATGGCACGATGATAGCTCGTTATTCGGGTCGGGTGGGTATTTTTATTGCAGGAAAATATCTCATCTCTATGAAATGTATACTAAACGTTAGTTAGGGACAAACCTGAGCGAAGCGACGGTGAGTTGCTAGTATATGTATATAATTCAAAGAAACATTTGTATGCGAAATTATTTCGATTTATTTCAACATTTTTACACATAAGAAAGGTAAATCATCACACACTTTAAAGTGTTACTAAAAATTATAACCCAACATCCCATTCACCGAGTCCATTAAACGAAAAAGTGAAAAACTGTCTAAACAGTGATATTAAATTGTATATTATAACTCAATCACTGTTTCGCCTTCTGTAATACATAGTTGAAATCCAACTAAACCAGTGCCATTAGTTCTATGATGGTGTCACGTAGTCCTATCAAAGATGCCATGGATTAGCATCTTTGGCGTGAATGGAATGGATATACTCGTAGCACGATCAATTTTTGAAATTGTTTATATACTTATTAATTCGTATTAGGAATGTTGATATAAGTTATAGTCTAAGCTTAGAAGTTTGTTTGTTTATTATTTAAAAAAAAGAGATTTATCTATACTAATATTATAGAGGCAGAGTTTGTTTGTTTGTTCCGGCTAAACTCGGAAACGGCTGGACTAATTTGGACGGGACTTTTACTGGCAGTTAGCTGATCTTATAAGGAATAATTTAAGCTATATATATTTTATTTTTATTTCAGAAAATTAGAGTTCCGTGCAAAAAAAGCACCGTATAATGACCGTATATATGTACTTTCAAGAGCATTTAGTTAACCTGTTATTTTGACATTACAAACAGACACTTCGATTATACTTAATTATATAGATTAATAAGCACATAAAGATTGATATTTTATCAATATTAAGTAGTATGTTATATAAAATGTGAAAGCAAAACAAAGAACCTATTATAAATGCACAACGCTGCCCTCCCGTCTTTAAGAGCATGCAATAAACAATTTGCACTATAATGTTATTTGAACACACGTGTTATAAGAATTTTTGAACAAAATAACTTTTTATATTATTCTGAAAGTATTGATTTATCTAATTTTTCTTACATCTTCTTCCACAATTTTGTTGTTGAACTTTTAAATTTTCAGCATCCAATTTTGCTTACTATCTTCTTTGAAAGTATTTCTTTTGAAAGTTACAAAAAACGTTCAAAATTGATTAACAAAGATATTGTTTGACATAAATATAAAAAATTAGCTATATTAAGTATCTAATTCCTCCTATTTCTATGATGATTGGTGGCTTCTAAGTGGCTTAGTAATGTTTTTGGTAATTTAATTATACTAATATTCCAATTTTCGCAATTAAATGACCATAATAATTTATATGAATAGAATTCACATAACTATAACTGATTCATTTTTTTAACTTGTTTTTTTTTCTATTGATGACACTAAAGTTTGTCAATAGCTATAAAACAAAAAAAAATCGATTGATAAAAAGAGTGTTAAAAGGTGCTGAAATGGTTTGTCTTTGCCTATTTATATAGATGCTAGCGACTCACCCTCGCTCCGCTCGGGTTCGTCCCTACTTACGTTTTAACGTTTAGTATAGATTTCTCAGAGATGAGACATTTTCCCGCAGTACAAAGTATCCTGTGTCCTATATATTGACCCGGATAACCAGCTATCACCATACCAAATTTCATCAAAACCTCTCCAGTGGTTTTTCCGTGATGTGGTGACAGACAGACGGACATAAAAATTCTAAAAACTATAGATTAGGCCTCTGTATCGATAATAACGTATATTTTGATTAGATTTTCCAAAACTATTTAATGTGATAATTCGGCTTATTTAGTATTTTATTATACGAGTACCTATGTATAAATTAACTGATAAATATCAATCAACTGTAAACAACCTATAATAATTATTAATTAATAAATTAATAATTAATAAATCGATTGTTTTCACGTTAGTTCAATTATTATTGATAGAAAATGCTATCTATCTGAATAATATACGCGGAATAATAATAAGATCTACCCAAAATGCAATTTCTGCTAAAGCCAAATACTTCTAACAGCCGTCGTAACTTGGACGATTTCATTTCCATGAGATTTCTGAAATCTGCATAACTTGAAGACGAATGATACGACTCTACCGGGCTTAAACTACCGTTTTGCATATAAACGAAGAACATATAATGGCCATTTGGAAGGTTTACATCGATGTTTTATTCAACCCGCGGTAATTTTTCGCTAAAGACCACGGTTACGTGTAATTATGTACTGAGATGTTGTAAATTGTAATTGTTTTAATTGATTTTTAACTTGATTATGTTAAAAAAAAAATTGATATTTGTTTTAGTAAGTACTAAATAAAAGAGAAGTTTAAATAGCTTGCTTACTAGCGAATTACCCTCGCTTTGCTCGGGTGCGTCCCTGTAAGTTACTCCATGTAACATCAGCTATCTGCCAGTAAAAGTCACATTAAAATCGGTCTAGTCGTTTCGGAGATTAGCCGGAACAAACAGATAGACAAAAAATTAAAAAGATATGTTGTTCTTAAAATACCGTATATAATTCTATATACATTTACTAAAAAGCAGCTGTTATTTTGACATTACAAACAGACACGACCAATTTTATTTATCAGCGAAACGTCTTTTGGTTTGCTATAGCTTAAGAAACTAACAAAACCAAAATATATGTCGGTGTTTTGTGAAATGTATCTCTTTTATTGCACTACTTTAAAACCAAACTTATCTAAATTAAACTAAAATAAACATAACTTTCTTTGTACATGTTGCATTTCTCTTTATATGCTATCTCCATAATCGTGACTGAATCGTGAATTCAAGTCTAGAATTGTTTTAAAAGATAGCACATTTTTTACCTGTACTTGTTCCACTTGAGAGCGATAAAGACAATTTTTATTATACTTTTTGTACCAAGTGGTTTTATATTGTCTCTTTGCTAGTTCTCGTCCACGGTTTCACACGCGTAATAGGTAGGTTTTACTACTGATATATCATTAGAATGTATTACACTCGAAACTCGTTTAGTAGTTACACCGTTACAATAAACACTCTGATTTACAAACCAAACGTTCGTATTTATAATGGGGTAATTTTTTCTTGTTAAAAATTCTGATATGTTCGTTTTTATATATGTAAGAAATATACGTAGTTCAATACAAACGAAATTAATCATGAAATAAATATCTCATCCGCGAATCACTCGATAATGTTTGCTAGTAGAGTAGAAATAAAAAAATATAGATTTTAATAAACTGAAAAATATATATGGGGTTCTTAAATAAGCAGGTAATTTGTAAGAAGAAAGTTTTTAATAACATATTCGATGTAGCAATTTATTTAAAAAATATTTTATTGTTGATTTTTTTAAAAACCGCTCGACCGATTTCGATAAAATTTATATGGGACGACCTGGGAAGTATACCCTTTGAAACAAAAAAAAATATTTCCTCTATTCTATGTTCTTGTTTCCATACATAAAAAAAAAACAAAGATTCCGGCGAATTGAGAACCTCCTCGTTTTTGAAAGTCGGTTAAAAAGTACCAAATAAGACTATGTTTGCGATTTCCAGTCCGTACTGGTTCACATAATACTTTCTTAGATTTACGCGAATATTTGACATTTTAAATAAAACTATCTTTTCGGATTTTGTCGCGGATTTATTTGTATTTTTGTTTCCCGACGTTTCGAATGCTTTACAGCATCCATGGTCACGGGAGAGACTGAGGTGTTACATGTCTTAAAGATATAGTTGTTACAGACAGCCTACCCACAATTAACAAAATGAAAATTGCACCAATTACATTACAATATTTTAACTTTAAATATTTTTATAGTTTTAATTATAATTGAATATGGAAAATTATTTATTTAATTTTTTGCTATTATTTTTATAATTATTACAATTTTAAAATATTAATTAGCAATCTATATTTAGTGTTGCCATTACTATATTTATAACCATAAGAAAAATATAAAATATAGTATTAATTATTTAAGCCACAATTGATCTATGTGTAATTTGAAAAAGTTAAGATTAATTAAAAAATAATAATTTTAATTTAAATTTGCTATTATTTAAAAACAAATTATTAAGCAACACATTACTACATACATTTACAAATGAAGAAGTGAAAAATATTATTAATCAGAAATGCTATCATTTTGATCTACACAGTAAGAACTTAC